GCTCAGGTTCAGGATTTTATTATGGTTCGGAGACAGAGGAGAGACATACGGATGTCAGCACGGTATATTAATACAGTAGTTACATATACACTTACGGTGAAAAGTATCGATGAGTTGGTGCCTACTACATTCAGAGAGGATGAGCAGAGTTCGGAGGCTGATTTGTGACTGGTAGCTATGTAGAAGGAGATGGGGTCTCTTCACAAGAACGATATGTGGGAGCTTGTTGAGCTTCCAAAGGGGCGGAATGCGATTGGTTGCAAGTGAGTATACACGAAGAAGGAGGGCATTGAGGGTACTCCAGTGAGGTTCAATGCTAGGTTGGTTACGAAGGGTTATGCACAGGAGGAATGTATTGATTATAATGAGGTTTTCTCTCCAGTAGTAAAGTACTCTTCGATTCAGATTTTACTAGCTTTGGTGGTACAGTATGGATTGGAGTTAGATCAGTTGGATGTGAAGACGGTATTTTTTTATGGTGATCTTGATGAAAAAATATATATGACTCAACCATTAGTACTATGAGCTACAGGGAAGGAAAACCTGGTTTGTAGGTTGAAGAAATCGTTATACGGATTGAAGCAGTCTCCTCGACAGTGATATAGATGATTCGATGGATTTATGATCGGTCATTCATACGCTCGGAGCTAGTTTAATCCTTGCGCGTATTTTTGCAAGATAAAAGGAGGTGTGTACATCTATTTGTTGCTCTATATCGATGATATGTTGGTTGCCTCTATTTCTAGGTCGTCTATAGATGAGTTAAAGGCACAGCTTTCAAAAGATTTTGAGATGAAGAATTTGGGTAAGGCTAAGCGTATTTTAAGGATGGAGATCGACAGAGATAAAGAGAAAGGCAGAATTTATTTGTTTGACACAGGTGGCTTATTTGAAGAAGGTTTTACAACGATTTCATGTCAGCATGGATACGAAGCCGGTTAGTGTACCTTTGGGGGCCCATTTGAAACTTTCAGCTGACCTTTCACCAAAGACAGTTGAAGATCGAGAGTTAATGTCGAAAACTCCATATGCGAGCGTAGTTGGGAACTTAATGTACGCGATGGTATGTACGAGGCCAGATTTGTCACAGGTAGTGAGCATGGTTTCAAGATATATACACGATCCAGGAATGGGTCATTGGGACGCCGTGAGATGGATTTTGAGGTATATTCGAGGTATGCTCAATGTTGGTTTGGTTTATGAGCGGGACACTACAGGTGGACAGTTGTGCATTGGCTACGTTAATTCGGATTATGTCAGGGATTTGGATAAGCGCTGGTCTACTACGGGGTATGTGTTCACTTTGACCTGTACACAGGTGTGTTGGAGATGCACCTTATAGTCTACGGTGGCTTTGTCGACGATAGAGGTAGAGTATATGGCGATTACGGAGGTTGTGAAGGAGGTTATTTAGCTTCAAGGATTTTTGGAGGAACTTGGTATATTACAGCAGTCCATCACTATTCATTATGATAGTATGAGTGTTATCTATTTGGCGAAGAATCAGGTTATTCATGCGCTGACGAAGCACATTGACGTTCGTTATCACTTCGATCGAGATGTTCTTGAAGATGACGATGTGGAGATTGTGAAGGTCCACACGAAGGATAATCCGGGAATATGCTCACTAAGGTGGTTCTGAGCATCAAGTTTGATCATTATCGAAATTTGTTGCACATTCATGATTGTTTAGACCGTTAACAGCCATTTGGATGAACTACGGGCGGCTTGATCCCTTGGGAGAGGGGGTACGTAGGCAACCATATTAGTGCAGCCAATTTTTGGAGAGACGACGCATTGGTGCTCTTTGTTTGGTGTCGGCTCAGTTTTGAAAAACTTCACCGAGGTGAAGAATTAAAGAGCTTACAGGAAAAATGGCAGAAAATAGGTTTTGGCTTCCAGCGGTCGACTGCGATTGGCGCGGAGGTCGACCGCAAACGTGCACGTAAGCTGGAAAAGTCTCTGGACTTTTCGAGGTCGATCGCGATTGGCGCAGCGGTCGACCGACCAAACCCTGTAATATTTTTTCAGTTTCTGTCGTTCTGCCCAGTCGACCACACGTGTCTCTGCGGTCGACCGCGAGTCGGGCTGGGCCTGAATTTGGTTTCCTGTTCGCATTGGGTTTGTATTTTGATATAAATTAAAACATATTTTTCTAGGGTTTCTTATCAGAGATTTTAGATTGTAGTGAGCATATTGAGAGGGAGAACTTGTGAGCAAGTTGAGAGATTTGGTTTAGGGTTTGTGTGAGTGATTTTGTGAGATTGTAACCCTTTGTATTCTTCTTGATTTAGTGGAATCTCCACATCCTCTCCACATGGAAGTAGGCAAATTATCGAACCATGTATATCTCTGTGTTTGGTTTGATTTATCGTATTTGGATTGAATTATGCTCGTGTGTGGTTTGTTCTCTTATCCCGTGATCACAGATTCGTCCGGTGTGCGAGCAAGCTTCCGCATAGGCGCGTAACAGATTCCGATGTTATCACTTACGCGCTGCGTCAGTTACTTCGCTGTCACTCATGCACTTCCTCCTGGAAAAAAAGGCAATCAATAATTAAAATTTGTAAAATTTAAATGTGAGAAACATAGAAACTACTGAAAAGGAAAAAAATTACTAACACTTCGCTTTTATCGAGTTCTTTCTCGAAATCCTCAGCCCAAACCCGAAGAATTTCCTCTGGCACCTCCACCCCATCGACAAAAGGAATTGCTCCCTCATCACTGCCATCTTCAGTAATTATCCACGTCACACTCTTCGGCTTCATTGCTCTTGCTTCAGCTTTTGTTGCCTCAGATGGTTGCTATTCCAAGTTACGTATGAATATAAGGAGACATATAAATAGTAAAAATATAAGGAGATATATGATAAAAGCTCTAATTTATGGAAAATGTCATGAACTTACAGGAGTATTCTGTACAGGCTCTCTTGAGTTCTCTACTTCTTGATCAAATTCTCGAAACACTTCTCTCCTCAATCTGTATCTCTTGCCGGTTACCTCATTCACATAGAACTGCAACCAGAAGTAATAAATGTAACCTCATCAACCAATACTTATGTTCTTTTTTTTTATCTTTTAAAATTCTTTTAAACTAGGGGTGTCCACTAGCAAGGGGCCAGACCGTACTAAATTATCCAATTCCAGATCCATTTTTAAACAATGTAATTATACCATAAGTCTCATACTATCTTGGTGTTAGAAGACACGGATGTGAAAAAATTTATAGTACAAGTACACCTCCCCTTACGATGGGTATGGTTCAATGTATTAACAATGCACCAAAGGATGTCTACCGTTGAATCTGTGAATTTAGGAATGCGTGCTTGATTCCAGAGTAGACATCCTTTCTACTTACCGTTAATATTATAGATCAGGACCAGTGGATTCTTTCTTATCCCCTTACGTATGGAGTTCGGATCAATGGGATGAGTAATTAAAATTAAACATTCTGGAAAAATAAGTAAGTAAATATTAAACAGCAATAAAGTTTACCCAGTCCACGCGCCCTGCGTGTGCTCCTTGCTTTCTCACTGAGTAATAAAAACGAATGTGATCTGGTAACCTACGTTTGCTTCTTGATCCTGATTCCGGAGTAACGAATTGTTCGCTTACTGAATTTTCCAATAATGAATCCTCAACGGGGATGATCGCTAAGTTCTTTCCTTTAGTAGTCATTGCAGGAGATGTAAAGAAAGTATGAGGATCTCTTGAGGGTGTCATGATAATTTTGAGGGGAAGCACAAATTTGCACCCTCTGGTGGCTGAGTATATATCATCGAGGTTAGGGAGAGAGCAGAGAAGGCACCGGTTCAGGTGCAGGATAAGGGTGATGAATTATTATTTGGATTTACTGTTAAATGGAAATTATTAATTCTGCATATATGAGAAGAGTTGATGATTCATAGTATTGTTTCTGTAGGAGGTGCTTGAGCGGGAGCATCTAATATGTATGTGTATTAGATAGTCGCACAGGTTCAGTCTATTTTATTTTCTTTCCACTTTTATTATGGTTTATGGGGGGAAATTTTAAGAAAAATTATGGTTTATGGAACTATTCAATCATATTGTAATTGGGTACCATTGGTTGGATTGCTTGCGGTTAAATTTATTAGTAAATCTGGAAGAGGTCCTGATTTTGTTATAGCTTTTGGTATTTAAAAGCTCTTTGCCCAGTGTTTAAAAGAACAAGCGATACGTTAGTGTATGAAATTTTTCTGCAGTTTTAATAGTTCCTTGTAGTTTTCTCTAAAAAAAAAAATTTTATGATAGTTTTGTACAAATCATGTAAGTTACTATTTTCTATCGATAAAGATTTAGGTCCTTACCGTTTTCCCTTTTTTAAAAAATGTTCTGTACAAAACAGCACAAGCTTCATGAGATTACTCCGCAGTTTGTGAAGCCTGGAAGATGAGTGCCAGTTTTGTTTGGTTAATTGCTGACCGAAGTCATGTACATAAACAGTTCTGTTCTCTACATCATAGAGGTAGTAAGAATTTATACTTGGGTAGGAATTTATACTTAGTAGGAAATAAGACTATACTTACCAAAAAAATCACACAAGCAACATGATAGTATTGATAAATTTAATTCCCACATGACTGAATGAGGTTTTAAACAATGGTCTCAGGACTCAGGAGGCTTATTTTTCTTCTGATCATGGTCATAAGCTCAAAAGTTGAAATCGTCATAAGCTCAAAAGTTGAAATCCCAAAATCAGTCCGACTTGATTTTTAGGTCAAAAGCAGTAACAATTCTGCACTTTCCTTCAGAAAATTCATGCTTACAGCACCCCATAAAACTGTGCTAATGTATGATTAACTTTCATTTTTACCAGTCAACACTCACGAGGCAGGCCTGAATATTTCCAACAAAATAAAGAAAATAACTACAACAATAAATTACTTTTTCTGAACAAATGCCCACCCAAAATGATGCATAAACGCATTTCCTCACGCATCATACTTGCACAGAAATAGCTCAAAGACGGAAGACAGAAGGTAGCAGAACAGAAAGAAAATATAGTATTGATCCATATAAGAATTCCGAAATACTACTCCAAATAACAATTCTCAATAAACTACTGCACTCGAATACAAGTTTTAATCCACCACAAACAGTAACCAAAAGACAATTGAGCTCCAAAATTCCATGAAAGTTCCTCAAAAGAAACTTCGGATAGTAAATCACACCTCATGTGAAAACTCCTAGTAAAAGAAGCCGAGCACTTTTCCACCAACATTCTTCCTCCTTGCTTCTTCATGGTCCATGATGCCTGCCGATGTGGTTAACACAATGTACCCAAACTGCACATTTTATCAAAGAAAAGAGTGTCAACATCACCCAATGATGCATTATTCTAGTAAGTAAGAAGCAAAATTCTCAAAGCATAATTTTTGTTTTCAAATAACAGGTATCATCGATTGAGATAGTTTGGCCACGTGCAAGAGAACTTGGTTGGAAGCAGTTAAGAAGGATATGATTGCAGTAAACTTAACAAGGAGATAACCCTAAATATAACTGAATGGAATAACAACAGACAATTAAGTTTTGGGATAAAGACTTTGTTGTTGTCGTAAAAATAACATGTATTAAAAAGTAAGTAATCAGGTAACCTGTCGGGATGGGAGAAGCCTAGCGGTCCAGGGTTCAATGTCCTTAACACCAACATCAAATCGAGGACTAATAACACCACACTTGTTCAATCGGCCATTGAGTTCCACAACGATCTTTCCAGCTCTGTGATCGTCCACATATTCGAACTCACCAATGTATCCTGAATATAGCAACCCATATATAGTAGAAATGAAGAGAATTACTGGAATGCAATACTGAGCAGAAGGAAAACAAAGAAGAGCTTTTAGTTTACCATGCTTCTGCATAACCAAAAGGAACTTGACAATCACTTTTGAAGAGGGTCTGATCATGACTTGACGCTTACCACGCTTCTCAGCATTGTACATGCTCTTCAGAGCATCATTCAGGACGCTGACTCTCACCATCCTTACTAAGCCTGCAACAAGAAAAATATATTTGCATACAAATTTAGATAATGAAAATAAAAAATGTTTGATGAAACATTAAAAAAATGAATGTTTTTCTGTTAAGGTAAAAAAGATATCATAAGAACATCATAATAATGTATTTTTTCCTCGAGTCCTAACAACATAATCACCTCAACCGCTAACTAGATATCATCATTTAGTTAGAAATCATGATAATTGATAACAGAAATACAAAAATGAGAATGACACAATTAATAAAACATATAAGCCTAAATTCAATACTGTTCTTCTGAATGGTTTAAAAGGACTTTTTTAGATGCATAGCCATCATCCATCATGCATCATGCTAAGGAAAATAACCCCCAAAATATGAACAGGGTCTTAGAAAATTACCATTCCCTTCCCTTGGGTTGGGGATGGTACAGTATACACGACTCTTTTGATAAAATGTGAAGATTTTGATGCCTCGTCAAAAATATTGGGCCATTTATAAAAAAATAAACAAACAATATTCCCTTAATCTCAACAGAAGTATATGTAATAAATATTTTTAACAAAACTTTATGTCTCCAGAACATCTAAGTTAAAATCATACATTGGTGCAGCAAAAAAGTGCATGGAAATGAGCACAGTTCTTATTGCACTAGCATCACTTAAATGCAGCATTTATGGTAAGGTTTACAATGAAACTTGGAAATCTGAACTGGGTTAGAGATCTAGCATAGTGCATTGGCAACACCGAGTTATCACTGATTATTCAATTTCAGTAAAGGAAAAAAACACCAAAGGTACAATGTAGACTTCCTAACTTATCAAACGGTAATGGAGAAGTAAAATGCAGACTTTCTATCTTATCAAATAGTAAAATTTTATACTAGGGTTGGGCAATTTGACCTCAATTTATAAAGATTTGCTTCCTTGATTCTGGAAGCTAGCTTTCAGGGATGAATAATCAATATCCAAGCCAACAACATGCCTCCAGATCACAAAGCGAAGCATCGACAGTGAAGTCAGCATTGCAGTGTTAGCACGCAAAAAGTGCAGGTTAGTCGGGACTGATGAAAGATGCAGCATACATTTTAGGGTCCATTCAACTGAAATTGATTATACAGGCAATTTGATGTGTGCTTCTAGGGATTTGGTTCCCTTCATGTAAGGGATAGATGTTAGGGTGAATTCCCCTAAAGTCTCTATCACTACTCTTCTACAAATCCTCAGGTAATTGCAGCTCGAGTGGCACCCAAAAAAAAAAGAAAGAAATCAACTTTATTATGCATTGGTCAACATTTAATAGGCATTCCCAAAATTAAAACTTTACAATTGTCCAGTTTCCAGTTTCAAGTTAACCATTACGATAATCATTACCACGATATAATCCCACTATACAGTGAACAATCAAATTCACCAATTAAGAATCGAACTAGCTGAAAATAAATCGTAATCAGTAGATTAATGGATCAAATCATCGGCTTACAAATAATTACAAATAATAAAAACTACCAAATCAAAACAAAATAAACAAAAAAATCACAAAGGAGAGCGATAAGCTTGATCATCAGTATTTAGATTACAAAAAGGTAACGCGGAATTATAAAATTGATAAAAGAGATCAAAGAGAGGCTCAAAGATCTAACCTTTGAGTGCCCGCGACTCGAAGCCAAAACCCTAACCCTAGGAAGAAAAAAAAACAAAAGCAAATGAGAAAGAAGGCAGCAGCTGCGCGATCGGGGCCATTTTAAATACTCCTGATTCATTAATCCTGACCGTTCGACTCAATTCAACGGTGGATAAGCGCCAGCTTCATCAATGGGCCTTACTTGCTTTTTTACGCTGCATGAGCCCAATAAGAACAGGCCGTAACGTAGGGCTCTTTTGAGATGCGGATGTTGCATCTGCATGTCTATCAGCATCGTAACAGGCTGTAACAAGACTTGGCCCAAAACCCATAGAGCCTTAAATTCTGGTCTCCACCCCAAACAAGCCTTTTAAGGGAGAAAGATTCCGGTGAGGGCAACCCTATAGCATTATATATACATCCAAGGCGTATCAATCCTTAGATCAGTACATGAATCACAAAGTTTAATGATTCAAGAGTTTATATCTCTTGGATGCATATTTAATGACATGGGTCATCCTTATACTTTCTTGATTTTAATGGTAGTAGTTATGCAGAAGGAATCATATCAGAACCATTCCTATAGGAGTGGGAGTATTTATCATTGATATAATTTTTACATTATTCAAACTAACTCTTTAACCGTTCATGAATGGTATGGATTATCCTTTTTTCGTAAGGGTATTGTGATAGAATCTTAACTCCTAATTAGGCAATGATAGTTTCAAAAGTGTTCCTCTAATAGTCTAATCCATCGTTGTGTCAAAAACAATTATAAATTTATATTATCTAGAGTTTATAGAAACATGAAGTGTTTTCTAATATTGTTTGGCTGGGTATCAAGCATAAAGTCTGGTGCTTGGTGCTTGGTGCTTGGTGCTTGCTACCAAGCACTAGTTGGAGGAATCTCAACCATAAATGTGAAAAAGATTATTTCGATGGAAAGTATCACATGTGACGTATTTTCTCTTTGTACTTTACAATTTTAGATGTAGGGTTGAGATCCATCCATCTCACTATTAAATATTAAGTTTATGTTTTATACAATTTGAATTGACTGATATGACTGCTGGGGAGTTGCTAGGCACAACTAGGAATTAATGAGCCTGAATCAAGGCCAGAACCAAATTAATCAAACTATTTGATAAGAATAAATAGAATTGAGAGAAAGAACTTGATAGTTTAACTGCGTCACTTGATAGTTTAACGGCGTTAATTAACAAGCTTAACATATCAGATTTTGGCATGAAAAACTCTGACTTAAACATGTCACTGTTTATTATCATTAGTCATATGAGATTTTATTCGCACATTCGTATCCTAACAATGACACTCGCTTTTGATGTGATATATTTTCGTGAGTAATAGATTGAAATGAAGTTTTGGATTATTAGCGTTCAATCAGCCAATTTGCGTCTTGATAGAAAGAAGAATGTGTGTTTGAATGCTATGAAACAAAAATTAAGGATGTTCGAAGGTAAGTAAGATTTGATCGGTTATGGCCATTAGCGATTGATTGGTTGATTTATTTATTTATTTATTATATAGTTATGTCCAAATTTTGTATTTACACTGTCTCGATCACATGCTAATATACCAGGAGAGTGGCTTTATTGTCCATTAACTTGTATTATCTTCTCATCAATTGGCTAAGGATGAGATTTTAATTATGAGAAAATGAGTAAGTTTATGTATATTAAAAGGATTAAATAATTCTCTAGAGTTTATATTGTCGCCACTTGTTAGTATTTGAACGCAGAATGGTAGAATACAAAAGGTATTAGTCAACCACATAATGGATTATGTTTTGCACATAATGGATTATGTTTGCATGATAAAATATGCGAACATGTCATATTCGGGGACAAGCTTTAGTTAATTAATTACGCTGGGAGGGCTTTAATTAATTGAATTAGAGCCAATCTCTACCATTAATAGAAATGATCATAATCTACTCTACACATATAATTTTAAAAAAAAAAAGATTAAACCCTTTTTTGTTTTGATTGTAGGTTTTCTTAAGTACATGAATTCTTCATACAGGCCTCTTTATGTCATCATACGCACCTATCTGGATGCTTAATTACTTTGCTTGCACTTACTTGCCAAGAGAAGTTATTAATTGTATATTTAAAGCAATATTTGTAACTTTAGTCATTATACTTTCTGACTAACTAGAATTAGTTTTAGATGATCTTTGCTTCTGAAAAACAACAAGTTATCAGTTGATTGAGCTTGTTAGGTGAAGCCTTTTTTTGGAACATTTTTCATAAGTTTTCTAATTGTGGCACAATATAAGTGTTATTTGTCAAAGTGAATTAAGATGTGTTGATGATGCTAACTATTTGACGTAGTCATTCCATTTATGAATCGATAATTCCATTTCTTAAGCAAATCATGATTCATAAAAGAGTTATATATTCACATAGTGCAGCAATACAAATTAATGTTTCTAGTGTGTTGGATAGATCTTGACTTTTTCTCTAGCTGCATTAAAACTTTACGGTTGTAACATTGAAGTGAAACTGCATTTTTTTGTTTTTTTATCAGGTTTATTTCGCCAAATAACATAATTCACCTCTTAATAATTCTCTATCATTTTCTTGAATTTTAGGATATCATGGGTAGCTTGCTTGGATGAGAACTAGGAAGATGGAATTAGTATTCGTGCATTTCTGTAATGTACATGATATTCCTTTATAGTAAAAGACTTTTTAGAATAAATATTTGAATAGCTTTTCATTTTTCATACATTTAGTGATAAATATGAGACTAGTGTATGGAGTACTTTTGTCGTTGCAAGCCAAATGCCATCAACAATTGAGAGGTAACAAATTACATTCCTTTTTAATTTGGATCAATTTTTTGATATAAAATGATAATGTCAAATGGGCTATCACGTCAATATCTATGAGATTATGACGAACTAATTTATGTAAAAATGTATTTGATTATGTTTACACAAAACGATCCTCGAAAGAAGAAGAAAAACCAAATAAAACTACAACCAATGACAAGCTAAAGATCACATTTTTTTCCACTTTACTATATGATACAATCCCCGTGTGGACCAATAATTTGTTTTTAAAAAAAAAATTCGGAATCAAACATTTCGTTTGCTTTGGAGAAAAAATTTTGTAAGAATCCAGCCTATATTTCAGTAAGCTGTCTGTACATCGGTTAGTGTTCTTTCGTTGCATACAAACTACAAAGGTCCAAAAAAAATATGGATAATGCCAATATCAAGGATGAAGTTTGGATCATAGTATGCACCAAATAAGGATAAATTAACAAAAAAAATCCTGATTATGTAATTATTATTTTTGCAGATAAGATCCTAGGAGCCAAGCCGAAGTTCTAGCCGGATCCTTCAAGTACCAGACCGTGGGGTCTGGAATGATCACACCCGAGTCATTTTTTTATTTTTATTTTAAGAGAAGAATATAATTGTAACTCACAAACAACACGAGAAGAAAACATGCATCTTGCGAAATAAGAGACAATCATTTAAATCCAAAAGCCGACTTAATTGACTCCAGAGAAAAAGAGATAATTTGTTTTTGGAGATAAGATGGAGAGAAAAAAATATTGTTTTTTTCCCCACTCATTTTAGCAAAAGAGTTTCTAACTGAACCAATTTGTTAATAATAGATGGAAAGAAAAATAATCTCCTTTCATTAAATTAAATTTATGCAAAATTATGAAACATAATCACATAAATATAGATGAGCTAAAACCACAATTATCTATTAGTAAAGCAATGACACTTTCTTGTTAATCAATATAAAGTAATAATAAATTTGAAACATCCCATGAACACAAATTATTTAATTAAACGTGTTAGTGTTTTTGTTCACATATACTGCATTTTTGGTAGAGGACATTAAAAAAATTGTGAAAATCTGAACTTTGACTCCCACAACCTGGAATTACATTTCTCGAGCTATAATCAAACTCAAGTCCTCATCGATATATATCAAGCTCTGAACATAATATATCTTTTATAAATTTCTTGAACTTACTTATATACACTCTAAAAAAGGAAAGGAAAAAATTTCTAACATTTTATTGCAAATTTCTCTCTGGACAGGGGCATATTGAAGTTCACGCTGCGAGAGCAGGATCACGCTATATTTTTCCTCATCTTTATTAAATGATGAGTCCTTCAAGTCAAAGCAAAATGAAAGAGATATGAAACTGAACTATTTCCAATCAAAGCAAGCCCTTAGCCTCTCTAACTATAAATAACCATCCCTTTCATTGCTATAAGCCCTATATTTCTCACCTAATCACTTCATCATCTCCTATATATACACATTTTCCTTCAATTTATACACATCTCAATTCATTTCATCACATTAATTCAACTTGTGACCCACAAACTCTTGTTCACATACAAAAAGCCCTTCATTGCCATCACTTGCAAAGCTTCTCAAGTTTTTTGTTCTTTGAGAGGTAAGTTCTTCTATACTACACATCATCGATCTCTCTCCCTTTAAACAATCAATAATGTTATAATTATTAACTCGATCGTCTTAATTTCCAATTGTATATAGTATGCTTCGATTCTTCGAGCCAGAGGCAGAACCTCGCTGGTCGATTTCTACTGCTCCATCGGATCATTACAAGTGTTCTAGGATGCGTGAAGACTCGATTCTCCCGTTGAGATCTCAAGCTTTTCTCACAGCTACGATAGGTAACAAATTCCGTCGGAGAAAAAAAATGCAATTTTGTAAATAAGGAATGCGTGAGGTTTTACGTGTAAATAGAAACTTAACGGACGTCTGCCCATCGTTTGTTGTCGCAGGGACCAGCGGCCAATCTCGGGGAGAAAGTTCCCGCGCTTCTGCAGAGTTCGAGAGGTCGTAAGTCACGGAGTTAGTTAATTTATTGTGATTCTCTCTCTTTCGAACGAAAGAAAATTAGTGCAAGGGCTATTTTGTAAATTTTACGTATGCTTTCTTCTTCAGCAATAGTAGCTACAATGGGGATTTCCTCAATATTTCATCTCAAGATTGCAAAAGTTTCCAGTTCGAATCAATCGCTCCATTACCAGCATTGGATCAAAATCCAGGTTGAGTATAATTTACATATCAATTTAAAGCTAATTAATGATTTTTTTTTTCATTTTCCATTTTTAAAATTTTTATACTATTTTAATTCCATGAGCATGCAGGACAAACATCTCTAACTATGAATCCTATGGAATTGAGGGTATCCGGATTCACCAGCCATCACGATCATGTCAGTCAAATTACGAAATGTAATTAATTTTTTTCTACTCTAATCATTTCTTTATTCCATATTAAAAATGTTTTAATTTACGTAGGCACTTCCCGAATCGAAAAAACAAAGAAACCAATTAATCGCCGCGCATCAAATCATGGATCAACGGCTAATGATGGGGAGAGAATCCAAGAGATGCAAGGCTGAACAAGATGACAACAATCCACAAAAATTATCGATGATGGCTCCGACGATGAAAGTGTGATAAATTTTTCGTTTTGATTATGAAATATTTTGTGCGTATATATATATATAGGTTGACTATATAAAATATAGCGTAATATACTTAATTATCTTAATGTTAGGCGCCGATGGTGACTAATGTGAAGAAGAGCCAGAAGCTAGGACATAAAATCACAGCTCTACAGCAACTAGTTTCGCCATATGGCAAGGTGATTATTTATATTGATGCATATTGTAAATTTAAAAAAAGTTTTATTACTATGAAGACAAAGAGAAAAAGTTTGGATTATAACTTTTCGAGATGGATAATATTAAGGAAAAAAAAAACTAATGGCTATTGATTAGTTATATGTTTGCAGACAGATACAGCATCGGTGTTGAAGGAAGCTTGTGAACATATTAAGGACCTTCATCAAAAGATTCGGGTATGGTTAGCTAAAGACAAGTGTATTAATTTTTTTTTTTTTACATATGAAATAATTAACCCCAGGATCCTTGAAAGCAACTTTTTTTTTAAATCTTTCATCGTATATATGTTTAATTAATACGTATTGTCCATCCTTTGCTTTCACATAAAAGGAGCTAGTTTTCCTAGTCGTCAAAATCATTATGAATTTGTGCATGCTATATATATCATAGCATTTTGATAATATTAGATGCTAAATACATGTACAGGAAAGTTGTATTTATACAATTTTTTTCTAAAAAAAATTCCCTGTTATTTGACAAGTAAATTCATTAAAGATAGTGTTGTTTAAAATTATTAGCCACTCAAACATTAAGTTACCTTTTAGTTAACATAATATCGAGAAAGCAATAAGTTATTCCTAAATATCATATGTAGTCTTTTTCCCCTTCAAAAAATTCCCTTCTTTAAATTTAAAACTTATACTTTCATATTGTTGTAGATGCTGAGCTCTCCGTACTTTGGAGGACAAACTTCTATTTTCTTTCAGGTATCATTTCAAATTTCTCATTTCCTATTTTCAAAGAAATTTTTTTTTTTTTTTTTTTACTATTGTTGAAGGTCGACGACGACGATCATGAACTTCGCTGATCAAGAATCATCAAAGAATCACATCTCAGATATAAAAGCACGGGGGAAATGACGTTAATCTTCATTGAATCGGTTTTAAAATCGCCCCTACTTTTATAAATCGACGAGGAAATTAATTTGTTATTTATGCATTATTTATATTTTGATCGGAGTCGATTATTAATGTGATCGTAAGCCAGGATATTATTAGATAACTTGATCTTTATGAGGCGGACGAAATTGATGTGGTTACCTAATTTATATTGAAGATTTGAGTATTAGCACAAATTTACCTTGCTTGTATATAGTAATTTACCGTGTTTTGAGACTGCGTCTTGCTTACAATTTGCTTTTATTTGTTAAGTTGACTAAGGACTGGGGGCCACTTTTTAATTAATTGCTTTCGAATTTTTTGTTTGCTCTTATATAGTTATTTTTCTATAATTGGATTGTACCCTAATAGATGCTTAAATATTTTTGAGAACATGTTGATTTTTGACGTGGTCTTTTAAAAATCTTTTTTGGCGTCAGAATGCTGTCATTTGTATGGTTGAGACCAGATTGAGATTGAAAACCCTTTTTGCGATACATTAGCATCTATATCTTATATTAATTAAATCTCTTACCATTGCATCTGCCACTTCCTTAATTTCCTCTTTTTTTAATCACTTTTTAAATAAAAAATATCAATCCACCTATGTCTATTAATACTATTACTAAACTAATAAAACAGAAGATCTTTCCCACGTTTCAAAGACTTACATTGTGACTTTTTGAATTCTTATTTACATAATAATAAATTAACAATTCTTTATTTTCCTCCTCCTCGATTCAAGCACCCCCTCTTTCCAGACTTTGCATGTTAAAATAAAAATTCTCCCATTTCCAACCTTCCAAGCTCTTCAACTCCTTTGTCTCTTCAACTCTATGAAGCCTTTTCTCATAACTAGTCTTTACTATGAGAAAAAACTAATAAAAAATCAATAATTAGAAGTGAGAAAGAGCTTTTTTTGAGATGCCGAACAACTTGTATGAGATTATCTTTTCACCCCTTCCTCGGATGTGTTTGGGTGGAAAGTTGATTTCATTGAAGAATCCATTACAACTTTAAACGTTATAATAAATTCAAAAAAAAATTAGTCTTTTTAAAAGACTGTCAATCAATGATTACAACTATCTTTCAAACTACACACAATAGTAGTTCTAACTCCTATTGCTTGTACGGGATCGTTGCCGGTGCCGGGGTTTATCCGTGGACCGCCTACAGATCAGATCCGGTTAGCCGAAAAATTGATAGAGCTCCTACTTCACGAAGGAAGTATTCGCTTGAAGCACTGAAATCGACCAAGCGAAATCAGTAGCTCTTCTCGAGATTAAGACGAAGCCTAATCTTAAGGAACGGATGGAGGAAACGGGTTCAGGTTCTTCGAAAGCCTTCCTCTTTTTTGCTAAAGTTCGTCGGGATCTGACTCGCCTTCGCTAAAAATTCGTGCTCCTTTGACTCCTCAATCCAACAGCACTTCGTCCTCTTGATAAAATTCCAGATCAGTAAAATGGAGACCCTAAGCTCATATTTATAAGGCCTCAGATACGGGTATTCGGATGAGAATGAGCGATTTGGCCTTATCTTCAGTTAGCAATGGCCTAACCATGTTTGTGGATGATATCAAGTCAGCTGGGAACCCCTAAAACAGATAAATCTCGAGAAAACCCGTTAAAAACCGTCAAAACGCGTTTTCGGGTCAAACCTACGCGAAACAGCTCGTGCTGCCCCGCGCGGCCGCGGTTCACTAATGTGTGAACCGTGCGCACGCGGGTTGAGACTTCTTCTCTCTCTTCGTATTTTGGTGTTTTGTTGATGTGTACGCTTCGCTGAGGTTGACCGACGTGCGTGAGCTGATTGACGTACGCGTGTTGACCGACGCGCGCGAGTTGATTTGACGTACGAGAGCTAATTGACGTGCGCAAGCTAACGGACATGCGCGTGTTGACCGACACGCGTGAGCTGATTGATGTGCGCGTGTTGGCCGACGCACATGAGCTAATTGACGCACGCAAGCTGATTAGCGTGCGCGTGTCGATCGATGCGCACGAGCTGATTAACGTGCACGTGCTGACCGACGCGTGCAAGCTGATTGACGTGCGCGTGCTGACCGACACCCGCGAGCTGATTGACGTGTGCGTGCTGACCGACGAGCGTGAGCTGATTGACATGCGTGTGCTGACCGACGCGCACGAGCTGATTGACGTGCGCGTGCTGACCGACGCGTGCTAGATGATTGACGTGTGCGTGCTGACCAACGTGCGCGGCGGCCGATTGGATAACCCTTCTTGACTCATCCACTCTTCGTTTCGAGCTGCGTACGGGCCCTCATAGGCAATTTTAGAAGCCTACAGATACCCCCTCCAAAGTGTTTCAGCCTCATTCTTTTATAGAGGAGTCTGAAATGCTTTGGATATGATGGACTTCCACCTTCAATCGGTGTTAAAGGACCTACAACTGGTTTCAGTTCTTGACTTCTCCACATTTCAGTCCATTCAGTATTTTGTCGAATAGCTAAAATTCTTCCGGTGTTGCATTTATCGTCTGACTGTTGTCGAAGTCTCGAATCAAAACTGATGAATTAATTTTGGCTCGTGTTATTGAGTTGAATTTGAACTAATTATCTGGGTCGTAACACATTAACCAGCGTTGACCTAAGGCTATGCGTTGACCGGTGTTGATCTTAGGGTTTCGCGTTGACCTGAGGAGGACCACTTTATACTCGTATACTCCTGAGAGTTTCGGGAATCAGTTTAACCTCGTGTATCCGTTGGAGGTTGTCGGGTTATCCTAGAGAATATTACACGTAATATTCTCTAGGAACTTCCCGTCAAAAGTAGGAAACAGTTTAGACTCGTATACCTATTGGAGTATGCGTGAGTCCCGAATATCTCGAAAGTGGGTGAAAATACCGCGAAGCAACCCAGAAATACGAAGTTGGGTCCCGAATATCTCGAAAGTGGGCGAAAATGCCTCGAAGCTACCCAGAAACATAAAATTGGGTCCCGAATATCTCGAAAGTAGGCGAAATGCTGCGAGAATATAACGAAAATGACCATTGGATCATACCCGACTTGCACGAATGCAGATCAGGTGGATCCGACCCGTGCGGGTCAGGCGCCAATCCGACCCCCTGGAACGCGGGTTGGGTGCATCTCTTGGGATTAAAATCCCAATTCCCCTCTCTTTCTTCTTCCTTCTTCCAGCTTTCGGTTTTCTTCTTCCAGATTTTGGTTCCCTTCTTCCCCAAGCTCTACCTCTTCAAGAACTCCTCCACTTCAAGAACTCTAAACGAGATCAAAGTTCCTCTCTTTAAATTCCTCAACTCCTTTTCTTCACTCCCTCTAAAATCAACTGAGTTTGTGAGCTCAGGAACTAGGGTTTCGGCTGATCTCGACTTGGGTTCGAGCATTTGTGGGTTTTATTTTGGCGGGCCTCTCCTCCTCCTCAATTTCTCTTTGAATTTTAGGTAAGCTTCAATGTCTTCAGTTTAATTTTGGTTGAATCTTTGAGTTTTGGCTTGATAGTTGAAACCCTAGTTCTTGAATTTGTGGGGGGGAAATGAAATTTAGTCTTAGACTTTGAGTGATGGCCGAATTTCTTGGATTTGGTTGTGTGCATGACTTGATAATTGAAGCCCTAGCTCTTCAATCTTGGGAGAAAACCAAAATTTGGGTTTGGACTTTGATGGTGGCTGAAATTTTTTGAGCTCTTGGTTGATGATTAATAATTCGAATCTGTAGTTCTTGAAATATGCATGGCCGAATTTTGAACTTTTGATTGATGATTGATGACTTGAATCTTGAACTTGTACATTGCCAAATTTTTCTTTAACTCTTGGTTGATCTTGATGACTTCGAACTTGTGTATTGACTGAGAACCGAACTCGTATATGACTGAATTCCTTAACTTGTATTTGAGTGTAGCCGAGACTTTGCTTGACTTGTGTGGGAGTTCACTGAACTTGGTTGTGTATGAGAACTAAATTGAATTCTCGATTTAGGTAAAATATCAAGGCTTTGATTCTTGACTTTGACTTTGTGCATTATCGCAACCCCTTACTTTATTTTGTCGAGCTTTGAACTTTGTTAGCCTTGAAATTGATGACCCGAAGCTTGAATGGAACTTAGTTTTGACTTTTTTGTCTACATCGAACCCTTAGGATGTTTGGTTGTGTACGTGACTTGATATCACTTAATTTTTGCTTATAGTCATGTATATATATGGTTTTGAAACTGAAGTCAATATCCATGTTCTAATTTCGGATGATTCTGTGAGCTTGTAAATCTACATGTTGACGTGGTTGAGACCCTATGTTCGACTTTGCAACCCTCAACTTGATTTTCCCTTTTAATTGCTTGATCATGGATGTGAGCTATGTATGAGGAGCTTAGTTTGAACCACATGTAAGAATTGAGCTTGTGTCCATTTTTTGGCCTTTGAGAGAAGAATGTCCAAACCTTCGACTTGTGTATTGGTCGAGAATCGAACTCGCTGCTTTAGCCTTATACATTTATTTTCTAGACTCTAATTTGCATCGAAAGCATTTCTTAGGTTTAATTGGACCTTTAACTGGAAATTTCTATTTTGTAAAATTTCATAGGCTTGGTCTTAATATCGAGAAGAGTTATTATTTTCGTTTGGTTGATTTCAGTGCTTCAAGCGAATACTTTCTTAGTGAAGTAGGAGCTCTGTTAATTTTTTGTCAACCAAATCTGATCCGCGGTGGTCCACGGATATCAACGTCACCGGCACAGGCAAAGATCCCACGCAAGGAATAGGGGATAAACACCTGTTGCGTGTTTTTAGAAAGAGAGTTGTAATTTATTTTTATTGTATTGAAAGTCTTATGAAAATGCTATCTTTGTTTTGAAATTATTGTAACGTCCAAAGTTGTAATGAATTCGGCAATGAAAATAATTTTCTACCTAAACACGCTGGCGACCACAGCGGGAGGCAACAACCTTTCTGCGAAGGC